TCTGTTTTACATGGACTGATTCCGGGTTCAAATAAATTTAATAGTAAATTTTTGCAAAATATATGCTGTCCTCTATCAGTGGTTGCATCTACTATAAAAGGAAAGATTTCATCATCATCTGGACTTTCTTCACCTGGGGTGTGCGTTGAGCTCATTTTTTCGTTCGATGACTGTTAATATGTAATTATTAATGTGTCGAATTGGTTGATTCCAATTGTATAAATGTACTGGTTTGTGTTTATACTGCTTTTTTATTCTTCTTTTTCCTCTTTTTGATGAATTTGAAGTTGTTTCTGAGTCAGAGAAATATAATTGATCGTGAAGTGGGTAATTTTTATCTATTGATTCTTTTAGTTTGTAAAGTTCGTCTAAACTGTTGGTTTCTGATTCTGAAAATGCGTTTCGATTTTTTGAAAATCTTTTTCGTGTTATTTGTCTTTGTTTCGTTATTATTTTTCTTTTTAGTGTTTGTCGTTTTGTTCGAATGTATCCAACTGTTTGTGTATGAGGTGTGATTACAAGGTCGTATTTTTTGTTATCTATTTCACAATTGTGTAAAACGATTGTTTGTTTATTTCCTAGGTTTTTAAATGACATAAGGTTTAGAATGACGGATGCAAAAGGTTGTTAAATGGTTTCTATTTTCTTAAACTGTTAGTTCTTACGATTTTTTGGTTAGCTTAACCTGGGTCTGTTTGTTCAGGGTTGGAGAGAAAAGTATATCGATTCCGAAGAATGATTTTTTACTTTCTCGTGGCTAGTATAAGTTAAGGTGTTAACTTACTTAATCTTACTTAGGGGTAGTGATTGTGTTCAAGGGTTGGAGAATAGTAAATCGATCCACAAGGTTCAGGTATAATTAGAACGCGAGTAGTTCGTTAGATACTATTTTAAACTTACTAAGTCTAAGATTTATCCTGGGTCTGTTAAGAGGGGGGGTCAAGTGAAGGATGAATAACCGAAGTTCTTCACTGTTTATCCTAATTTGAATGATTAGTTTTGTTTAAAAATTTCTATTAGTCTTGGGTCTTTAGAAAGGGTTGGGTAGTGAATCGACGTTTGAGGTCGTTAGACACTAATTAAGTGGGTGGGGGAGAACAAAGTTGTTCTGTTTGATCCAAGGATAAGCCTTGATGATCAAATTTGAAATTTAATTAAGTAGAAAATGATTTAAGATCCAAGGATAAGCCTTGATGATCTGGTTTTAAAATTAAGTGAATTTAAGTTTTAATAAAATTTTAAATATGTGTAAAGGAAAGTTTTAGTGTTTTGATGATATTAGTGGGTTTATGATTGCTGTTATGTTTTAGATGATGGAGCTGGAACAACAGGATGATTTATGATTACTAACCATTTATTGTCATGCTACTAATTTTTATTTTTATTTTTCAATAAATATTTTTCAAACATGTTTTGTATATTACTGCAGAATTTTAGGAAAACGATCTTAGATCTTTTTATCAATCGTTATTGTATATTAATAATTTTGTTTAGCGCCTGAAATGATTTTGAAGTTTAACTTCAAGGTTTTATGTTTGCAAATGAAAATCTAAATTCATTGCCAGTAGTATTCTAAATATAAAAGTTTGTTCTGATTTTTGCCTAACTATCATATAGCTATATGGCAAGTTTCTACTTTGTCGTATGTCGTCTCTGGTTCGAGGTCTTCTTCCAATTCCGGGTAGTTCTGTTATGGTTCGGAATATTGGCTCTGATCTATTGAGTCGTAGAGACATTTCGATTAAATTATTGTCGTATAACATTTTGTAAATGTTTTTGTCTAATTTCTAATCTATTTTGGTTAATTCTAAGCTATTAAGGTCTTGTTCGAGACTTATGGTCGCACCAGATGAGTTAGGACCGAGTTGGTTAACTCATAGAGTAATTTCGGATAGGGTACACCGTCTGCTCGTCACGCTATCTTATTTTCGGCCGGATAGATTCGTGCAACTTCTTAGTCTAATACCGATCCTAATCTTACTCTTATACTATCTAGTCTCAGGTTGTTTAACTAGTCTCTGCTAGGCTCAATAGATCTAGGGTATACTGGTCTATTGCGGCTGTTGAAGTGCTCGGGAGAGTCCAACTAATTTCTAAGTTAAATTCAAATCTCTCTGGTGCTGAAATTACAAGTAACTTCAGCACTTACAAATAAGTGGGTTGTTAGTTAGATGGATCATGATTGGTTAATATTAAATACTTTACATTGGTAAAATATCTAAATTATCCAATCATAAAATGTAGTTTAGATCAGGTTCCATTTTCTCTACTTTTTAAACAGTGTTTTGATCGATTTTTTGTTATAGCTCCCGAAACATGTTAAATTTTGTAGGAAGAAAACTCAAATGAAGTTAAATTCAAAGAGCTGATCTTTAAAAGAGCAGTGCTTTATGAAACAGTTTAATTGATCTTCCTTGTAACTTTTCGGTTTGTATCTTTCTTGATTGCAATCAAAGGTAAAGCGTTCACTGTGGCAATGTTCAGTGTTTTCAAAACAACTGATATAAACTTAGAAACTCCCCATAAAATACAATGCCTGTTATTGTACCATAACTTATGATCAAGATGGGTTTAAGATTAGACGGCATAAAATGAGGCAAAATTGAATTAAGCTTCACCCAAGAGACACGTAATCTCGCTTGGAAGATTCAGTGCTGTTTTAATATTAGCATTTCTTTTGAAATATTTTAAAACTGTTTGGTTTTGTTAGACTTGAGTTTTTGCATGTAGGTTCAGCAGTCAAGTTTTTAATCATAAAAATTGGAGTTAAAATCAAAAACTTGGGTTCAACTGCTTTTTTTTTAGTGTGTTTCAAACAAAAAAAGTGACGGCTCATTTCAACTAACTGAAATTATGTTTTGGAATGCACTAGCACTAAAGCTGCATCAATTAGCGTGCAAAGAAATCAAATTGAAGCAGTTTTCAGCCGATATATTTCGGCTCTTTGCTGCTTGCTTATTGAAAACCAAAAAAGGTTGCGTGCATCAATCCCCATAATTGCATAAAAGGCTTTTTTTTCAAATAGCGTAGTCATAACGCAATGAAAATTGGCGTAGTGAACAAATCAACAACTGTGAACATATTTGTTATTCATACTGTACTGCGTAACTTCACGCACTTAGCTGTAATAGCATGTAGAACAAGCATAAACTCGGTATTTTGAGACGGAATCTGGAAAAAAGCTGCATAAAAAAATTACAGGTAAAGGATCCTGTTAGATCTGAATTAGAAGCATCACAGTTCACAGAAGGCCTGAAGATTTTTCAGACCTTCAAATGAAAAAAAAAACATTTCAAGTGAAAAACTGACATTGGTTTCACTAGAAAACCATCGAGTTAGAAACATGACATCTCTTTCCTTAGAAGTCGGAGCATCTAAAAACTACCAATGCTTTGAGTTCAATATGTAAAGGTATTTTTCATTCCCTTAAAGCGTAAGCAGAGAATTAAACGGTCTAAGAAATCGTTCCAAATTGAATTGAGGCAAGATATTTGTTCCATTTATCAATTATTTGAATGCAAATTATGTGACTTTGTTCTTTAAACAGCAATTGGGGTGATAAACTAGAAAAAGTTTTATTTCTTATATTATTTGTTGTTTTGACTGTTATAAATAAAATGATGGAATATTTGTCCTCAGGGTTGTTTCTTCTCCAAACAATTTTCGAATTTTCAACATGCTAATTTTTGCGAAACTTTTCACAATCCTTCGAAAAGTGTTGTTGTTCGATTTGTATTGTTGTATTGAGCTTAAATGTTGAATCTTTCCCCTGAGATCTTTTTTCATTAGTTATGGGGGTTTAAACATTGATAACTTGCCAATTTGGGACAAATAACGCACGATACATTTCGTGATATTAACTCATAAGCGGTGATTTAATCCGCCTTAAAATTTTCTAATTTGAATTGATGCATGTTGTTTGCTCTGTTTAAAAGTTTAATACTTACCAACAAGATCTTTTTTATTTTAACGTAGAGTGAGTGGGGATGATTTTCCAAAAAGATATCAAACCAATATTTTGAATTTTTTCTCTGCTTCTCTGTAAATTTATTCAAATATTTATTTTAAACTACTCCATAGAACAAAAAATGAAGTCAAAAAGATATCAAACCAATATTTTGAATTTTTTCGCTGCTTTTCTGTAAATTTATTCAAATATTTATTTTAAATTACTCCATAGAACAAAAAATGAAGTCAAAACTTTCAGGGCTTCGCCTTGATACCAGCACTCCTGTTTCACTGTAATTTCCGAAATTTTAACCTAAATTTTGTTTAAAATTAACTTGATCTTCGCGAGTGCAAGTTTAAAAAAAAACGAGTTGAGTTTTGACATTCATGTCAAAACTCACATCAGTTTTTTCACATCACCTTAGTGTTTGGTTAATAATTTTGCTGTGGCAAACTTGATAATTTTTGATTGTACAAGAATTGCCCTCATCGCGTTCACTCTGGCATTTTCGGCCCGTTTCGACTTTGCCCCAACCAATCGCTTTCAATTTCAAAGACGATTCGAACCTAGTCATAACACGATGAAACTTGACATGCTTAACAACCTGAGGATTGTGAACGGATGGAAAATTTGAAAGGTGGAGGCATGGAGGGAAGTGGAAAAGAGCTAAACTCAAACGTTTAAGCCACCAGAAACTTTGCAATTAACATGTGGAACAAACATGAGCAACAAAATAGTGACCACTACAGTCGCGCCAAAGTGTTGCTAGCTTGCCACAGAGGGTTGGACTCTATGTGGAAGCTAGAACCGGGTTACCCAAGGACAATCTTGAACCGGACTGTTTTGTATCGGTTTGTTTTTTAGCCTAATAACTTTTTTAACGCATGCCAACTTTGATAGCAATCCGACGATGTGAGCACAAAGTTTTCTGGTCAGAACTTACTGGTGGGGGAGGACAAAAGAGAGCTATCAGTCAAGTCCAGAGTAATCGTTGGAGTCACTCGATTGGGACATTGATTCGAATACACGACTCATTGTTTTACTGACTAACCCTAGTGGATAGGTGTGCGTAGATGTAATGGAATCCATTGTCGTCCAGGTTGTCCCCTGGGAGCATAACTCCGTTGTCGTCCCACGAGTACACAATGGAGGCATCTGTGTGTCCATAACTCGTGAACACCACTGTGCATTGAGTGACGTCGAAGGGGAAGTAGGCGACGTTGATCTCACACGGAGTCACCAGCTTCACCTGAAACACAGTTACACATATAGAGAGGCACTTAGCATTGTGGTAAGGTTTTCAGTTATAAATTGGTTTCTTTTAAGGGTAAGGCATGTGTTTTTCCAAACTGTTTTCATTGTCTTTTTTACTCAACTTTGTATAAGTCTTGGTAAATTTTTCGGGCATTTGTGTGATTTCTTAGATAAGTTTTGACTACTGGTTTCGACATTTGGTTATATTTTTTCTTTGTGTTATATGTTACCTGTTTTCTGAGTTTTATCAAAGAATTTGAATTGCAGTTGCTGTTAACTTACACTAGCAAAGACAGGCGGGGATCTAGGAATTTCTCGAGTGTGGGGGCGGATTTTCAAAAAAAAATTCAAAATTTTGTCGACTTTTTTTAAGGTGAACCATGTTGCTTTTTTGAGCTCTCCCAAACCACTTTAAAGACCGTAATTAGAACCAAATTTTCTGCGCCGCAGGCAAATTTTTGAAAAAAGGCGTTTTAGGCACTTTTTGGAAAGCATCCACCAAAAAAGTCGCTTTTTTCGGCGTGCACTCCACCCTCAAAATTAGTAAAGATTGGCACCGAAGGCGCCTTTAGAAAAAATTTAAGGTCATTCAGCCCATAATGGATATCTCAAAATAGTACAAAGGGAGGACCATTTGGGTCGGCAGGGGGTCGAATCCCTGAGGCAGGGGGTCGAACAAAATTACAAGTTTTTTAATAACCCGGGATGGTTCGATCGACTCAACCAAAAATGGCCTTGCTTGGAGCAACTCGATGGCTTGTGTTAGACCCAAATGGGCTGTTCGATCAATTCGACCTAAAGAAAAGTATTTTCGTGTGCTCGACTAAAGTCTGCTATCTTTTGACCGACTCGACCCAAACTGGCCATGTTTCAGCCAGATATTTTTCCAGTGTCTGTATACTTAATACAATTCGAAAATTTAGCAAGCTTGATATTTGTTTATTACGGACTAGTAAAAGTAGTTGAATAACATTGTTTTGATAGTATTCGAACTTAATTTAAAAGGTTTTACATACTTCAAATTAAAAGTTACAAAAATCAGAATTTTTTGTACTTCAAATTTTTGTATAGCTACTTTATTAGCAAAACAGCGTCACTGGGACTTTTGTCTAGGATTAGTATGCTTGACTTATTACGCAAAATAGTGTTTCGACCAAGTTTTTGACTAAATTTTGAAATGGTGTTCAGTCAAAAAGGCTATTTTTGACTATGTTTCGAATATATTTTGTATTCGACTTTGTGTTCGACTATGTTTCGACCACGCTTTGTGTTCGACTATATTTTGACAAGGCTTTGTATTTATCCTTGTATTCGACTATGTTTCGACCCAACTTTACGTTCGACTACATTTCAAAATAGTGTTTGACTACGAATCGGCCAAGTTTTTTACTATGTTTTAAAATAGTGATCGATCGAAAGGGCTGTGTCCGACCACAGATTTTGGGTGGAACAACATCCGGGCTTTCGACCCAATTCGGCCAAAAGATAAATCAATATGGCAAAGATACGGCATTTTCTGCTTGAAGTTGGGCAAGTAGCCTGTTCCGTAATTTTTTTAAAAGCAAAAATTTTTCACTGAGTTTTCTTAAGAAACAGTTTTGAGGTGTTTGATGATCTTGTATCCTTCGTTTGATGATCTTGCATGATCAAGGACTTCAATGTTTTCTTATATGAAGCAATACCAAGTCCATTTTTGTGCTTTAGATTGACAATTATCAAATGATTTGGAAGGTGTTCTATGTTAGTTTTGAAAAATCTTGAAAAAAACAGATATTGTAATTACAGGCCACTTTCTTGACTGAAATTCAAATCGCAAAACATGAATAAAATTGCAATCTCAAAACTCGGCAAAACGAAGATTGTAATCAGTTATTGCGTTTTCATTACGAGGGCAAACTGTGCATTCTCTGCATTGGAATCCGCAACATTGCTACTTTTCTTTGATCTTCTTCGGTGTTTTGGATTCCACAAACAAATACCTACAACAATGTACCGCTCGAAATCGTTCCAAAATAGGCGAGTATGCGGAATCCGCAACTGTTTTTCCGGAATTCAGAGCAAATTTGCGGAATTCACAAACAAATGAATCCACAATCAAATGATTGAGCTGTTGGGGAATCCTCAACTGTAACTGGAATCCGCAAATTCTAAGTGACTCTGCAAATTGTAAGTGGAACCCGCATTTTGTTTGCGGAATCCATTTACATATATGTTTAATTGTGAAAACGATTTAGTTTATGTCTATTATTTACTAGGTGTTCACCAGCAAGTTCAATCTCTGCTACGTCAATCAGCTACTAGTTGAAATACCTGTTAATCTGAATTCCTGTCACCAACTTCGATCTCAATACCTGTAACCCAACTTCGATCCCAATTCCTGTAACCCAACTTCGATCCCAATTCCTGTCACCAACTTCGATCTCAATTCCTGTAACCCAACTTCGACCCCAATTCCTGTAACCCAACTTCGATCGCAATTCCTGCCATCAATCTCAACTCCTGCAAAAGTGAACAAATTGAACAAACTTATGAAGTGAACTCGCTTCTAGATTCATCAGTTCATTTCAATCAATTATTTCAATTAAGTAATTCATTTAAAATAAACGTATTTTAGTTTAGCCTCTTTCGAGTATTTTCAAATTGCGAAAACATAGTTTTATGAGGCAAAATTTTCGGGAACATATTTTTGTTTTAGCAATTAACCATTATTTCAGCAGTAGTTGTTCAAATTTTGTTAATTTTAACTAAAACGGATTTACTCAGACAGTTTCTTCTAATAGATAGTTTACTCCGCATGGGCTAATTACACCAAATAGATCGTTTAGTCCCTATGAGCAACTTTGACGGGCCGGCATAATTTTCAGACCATAACAAATACTGCACACAGTAGGAAGAAAACGGCAAACGTATTCTTGCTTGCGTAGAGAAAAATTGGTATGCTGAAATCCCTATTTGATCCAAAGGTCCAAAAACACATAATATTTGGATATAATGCTTGTAGAACAGCATTCTTAATCCAAAATCTAGAAAAGACGCATTTTCATCTTTAACGAAACTTAATAAACACTTTCTTACTGCTCATACACTACTGATGTACAAAAAGAGATGATTTTTTATCAAGGCTCATAATAAAAAAATGTGTAAGTCGTTCCCAGTAAAAGTAAATTAGATTTAGCGGAATCTAGTGAACTTGAAAAACCATATGTTGAATCATCAATTGATGAAACAAAAAGTAGCGAAAGTGAGGGACAAAATAATTAAAGTAGGGAAAAATAAGATTTTGATACAGATGGCCTTAAAATTTATTTAAAAAATTATAAAAAGCAGATGGACAGCATTAGATTTTACATTGACCGTCAATTTTAAATGAAATTAGGAAATGGCGATCAATGTATAATCTAATGCTGTCCATCTGATTGCTGTCCATCTGATGAAATCTTACTTAGAAATTTAGTATCACTCACTTATCCGAGACAGATGGCCTTAAAATTTATTTAAAAAATTATAAAAATCAGATGGACAGCATTAGATTAAACATTGACCGTCATTTTTAAATGAAATTAAGAAATGGCGATCAATTTATAATATAATGCTGTCCATCTGATTGCTGTCCATCTGATGAAATCTTACTTAGAAATTTAGTATCACTCACTTAGTCGAGACAGATGGCCTTAAAATTTTATAAGATTTACAAAAGTCAGATGGACAGCATAAGATTATACATTGATCGTCATTTTTAAATGAAATTAAGAAATAACGATCAATGTATAATCTAATGCTGTCCATCTGTTTGCTGTCCATCTGATGAAATCTTACTTAGAAAATTAGTATCACTCACTTAGTCGAGACAGATGGCCTTGAAATTTTTTAAATTATAAAAATCAGGTGGACAGCATTAGATTATACATTGATCGTCATTTTTAAATGAAATTAAGAAATGGCCATCAATGTATAGTTTAATGCTGTCCATCTGATTGTTGTTCATCTGATGAAATCTTAGCTTTCGAAGATACAATTCGGCGCATTTTCTGCTGGCTAATTGAAAACAGAATATGTTGCGTGCATCAATACCCATGATTGCATAAAAGGCCCTTTTCCAGTTAACCCTTTCAAGTTCAATTTTGAAAAGCGTTTTAACGTTGTCATAATGCAATGAAATTTGGCGTTGTGAACAAATCAACAACTGTGAACAAATTTATTCATACTTTACAGCGTAACATCACGCATTTGGCCGTAATCACACGTAAAACATATTTAAAACTCGGTATTTTGAAAGGGGGAACTGGAAAAGAGCCTAAGATTGCAGTAGTGCTAAGATCTTCTTTTGATAAAGAAAATTTCTTCAGAATAATTTAATGGTAGAAGGTACCATTAAATTAATGGTAGAAGGTACCATTTAATGGTAGAAGGTACCATTTAATGGTAGAAGGTACCATTTAATGGTAGAAGGTATAATTTAATGGTAGAAGGTACCATTAACATTAATGGTAGAAGGTACCATTTTTCGAAAGTTTGCAAATTTCGAAAAACCGACAGAATATTTTTTTAGGTGACTTTTTATCTGCGAGCATTTTCGGGCTTGTTTAAAGTCCCCTCTTTGATTTTTTGAAACTCATTATTTGAAAGTCAATTTAAATTGATTTTACATGTTATAAGCTGCATAAAATGTCAGCGTGAACAAGGAACAAATTATCACAACTTTTCTCACAAGTAAAATGCCGTGTCAAATTTTTTTGAACAGCTTTTTGTAATTTTACGAGAGGGTATTCCAGGGAATTTTACTGGAGAGACCAAGATATGTGGGCATACAACTTTAAGCTTGGACAATTAAAGCCCGAGCATTTTTGGTCTTGAACCACGTGTGTTGAAGTAATCCTGCTCAGAAAGTATGATGGTCACTTTCGGAAAAAAATGAGCTCAAATGGATGTAGCAAAACAGAACCTTAAGGTCTTTTGCTCGGGCAATCAGGTCTGGTTGCTGAAAAGTTTGCAAGA